ACAACTAAAAATTTCCCCTCTTTGTGCACTTTCAGCTGGCCAGATCACAGAAGGGGATGCTGCTTTCCACTCCATCACAATCTCCCCCAACCAAAAATCTCATCTTTCTCAAGTCCATCTGGTCGCGTCCAAACAGAGCATACCCAAAATGCCAAATTATCAAACTTATACAAAACTCTAAATCGAATATCCGATTTCAAAATTGCTTACCTTGATTGCAGAGGGCTTAGAAAGCGCCGGCATTCGGTTTGGTCGCAAAGTTTCGAAGGCCTGCCGGAATTTGATATGATCTAGTGATTAGCTTAGTCACTATTAAAACTTTTAATCTTGGGATTCTTAGGCTTATTCCTGTCTTAGTGAAGCTTGTTATAATCAAGGAAGAAAATATCGGTAATATCGGAAATATCGGTAGTCCGAAAACACGGAAATATCGATGGAAATATCGGGATAATATCGATATCGATAAAAATTACATGGAAACCACGGAAATTGTAAGAAAAACTTGGAAATTTTTAATGAAACTTTGCAGGATGTTTATTTAGTCAATTATCTATTAGTTTATCACAAAAAATTGGAAGGAAATGCATTGCATGATGGATTTAACTGATTTAAGTTGATTATATAGCGAGCTGGCAAACATTGTGAGTGTAGAAAATATGTAGTAATTAATGAAAGAAATTTAAACACACCATAATCATTTATATATAATTAATTAGTACAATATTGAGAGGTTTTATTTAGGATATTAAAAAAAAAAAAAGGAAGTGAATAAAATGATGAAGAATAATGTGCCGAATTTGACACTTTAAATTTCTTACACATAAGCATGCGTCTAGGCGTTGAAGTTCCAAATTATAGTATATCAATTAACGATTGAAAATCAATACGTTGAATAAGACTAAACTTTAATTTGGATGCCGATTATGTTTTTTCAAGTTTATATAAAGTAAAAGAATTGAATTTTGGAAGCCAGGAGTATGTCAATTCTTTTATAATTCGTCCGAATACATATATCAGGTTGCTACTCAACGTAATTTGAAAGTATATCTAGTGCAAGGACTTGTCTTTTTTTGTTGATAAGCAAAGGGTTTGTAGTTTTTTTTGCTAAGCTGTAGAACATATTATGTTTGTTTAATCTTTAGCATTTGATCGTTGTCCACAAATATAGGATAGAAGGTCCCAAATTAGATCTGGCTCTTAAGTCTTACCTAGTTGGAGTCACAAGTTCACATGTACCAGCCCTCGCAAGTCGTAGCAAAACGTTTTGGTTTCTGTAATCCCACCATTGGTGGAGCTAGAATTTTTGGTGAGGAGGGGCCTCTCATAAAGGTTTTTTTTTATTTAGTTTTTTTAAGCGGATGATATTTACAAGGCTAATATATATCTCAAAATCAAATATTCAAAACAACATATGCACATATAATATTACATACACACAAAAATTATAATTGTTCTTGACGAGTTTTTATATTTTAAAATCGTTTTATTATAATCCCGCTGCCTATACTATTATGTAGAATAGAGAAATAAAAACTTTACGAACCATAACTCTCATGTAATATGTAGAATAGAGAAGAAACGATTGAGAAACAAAGAAATTTAAAACTTATTTGTTGAATAGATTTCGAATTTAGGATTATAAGATGTATGAGATTTCAAAAAGAAAAGGGGAATTTTTTTTTAATTTTCATAATTAAAATTGAATGTTTTCTATTCAAAGAAAGGCGAAATATTGCTTTGATTTTAAATGCTATTAATTTGTGTTAAGGAGATAGCTAGATAAAATATTAAAGCTAATTGGGAGATGGGTTTATGCTTGAAACTTGGAAAGCAGGACTTGAATCAATAGAAAGATGCATAATTCCCATATATATATATTTGTTTTAGAAAGCAAGCAATAGAAAGATGCATAATTCCCTAATATATATATTTGTTTTAGAAAGCCAGGACCTTTACTCCCTCCGCCAGTGAATCCCACATCGCCCACGCAAGGGCAGTGAGCAAGCAAACAGGCTTATAAAAGCCACATTCCCAAGCTTGGTTTCTGTAATCCCACATCGCCCATGCAAGGGCAGTGAGCAAGCACACATGCCTATAAAAGCCACATTCCCAAGCTGAGGAAAGCATGCCTTGCTCGGCCCTTTTGGCTAAGATCAAGTGTAGTTATCTGTTGAGGCTTCTCAGCTTTTTTTAAATATTTTTGGGTTTTGATCTCACGATATTATCGAAAATATCGCGATATTATCGATAACATCGATAATATCACGATATTTAGACGAAAACCAATTGGATACCTATTAAAATATCGTTACCGTGAAAAACCGATAATATCGGCGAAATATCGCTGATATTATCGGCATTTTCTTCCTTGGTTATAATTAGCCAACTGGCATGATGAGTTGTGACTTGTATAAGAGCACTAGCTCTCACTATTGTAATCAGATCAGAATTTACACAAAAGAAACATAAACAAAAAAACATTTAAGAGCTCTGCTCTCTCTCTTCCTTCCCTCTCCATCTCTATCCTCTGTGTTACTTGCAGGTTGATTAAGGGGTTAGAGATTTGTATCGTATCAGAATTATACTCAATTGAGAAACATTTAATCACCACAGTTAGATTCTCTCTCTCTAAAATCACATGCAAACCCATCACTTTTCACATGCTTCCATTTTCTCTGACATGCAGAATGCTTAAGGAAATCGGTTTATATGACTAAAAATTGTGAGTTTCTGTCAAGGAACCCAAAAGCATCCTCTTATAACCTACTTCTTGTCAGAAAGAACAACTTGAATCTCACCCAATTAATCAAAACCCAATTTCTTTTAAGTTTCCAGTTTTCCTTGTTTCCTTCCCTTGTCTTCTTGCTTATTAAGCAAACAAATAAAACAGCTAATTAAAAAACATTGATTAACTTATAATTAAAGTATCTGAAGTGTTAAACTTTCGAATTAACAAAACAAAACCACCCAGACAAAATCTTTCATTTTTCACATATGAGGTTCGACTATCAACGACGTCGTCTTGAAACCGCTCCCCACTCCAGAAGCCCCTCCCCTGCTCCAAGCTCAACCCCAACGGAAACAACCCTTCATGAAACCCACTGCCACCGCTGCGTCGGATTTTGGTCAACTGGTGGTGGCGGTAGTCTGGGTGAAAGGGCAGTGGTTTTGTCGTTTAAGGGGCTATTGATAGAGTCTCCGTTGATAGAGGAAGGAAGGCTGTCAAAAAGGAGAATACATGGAAAGTTGTTATTATATAAATAGTACAATACATGTGCTAAAAGGTTAATAATTTAAAAAATAAAATTTCTCACGACTCCTATTAAAACATTTGATTTACTACTTGTGTTCCCATCACAACTAAAAATTTCTTGAAAAAGAGCGATCAACAGCTCACGAACACAGAAAAAACACACGTGTCCCATGGGCAATTTCTTCATTCAACTGTGCAGGCGAGCAAATAAAACTGAACTGAACAGTAAAATGGGGGGCATTTCCATCTTTCCACTGTACATTGGAGCGAGTATTTATCAAATATAGTAAAAAATTAACCTTTAATTTTAAAAATGTCACTTTTTATAAAATCTTTCAAATACATCCAAAATTTCACCTAAATAGACACAAATATCCTCAAATTTAACAATCAAATAAATTAAAGTCCTTTTAGTCAAAATGATTCGTGATATTGACATAACTCCTTAATCTGGTCCTTAACAATTAATGATAATCAATATAGTGTTCTTAAATTTGTCTATCGTAAATCATTTTAGTCTTTCTTTGAATTTGGCCATCGTGATCATTTTAGTTTTTTTCGTGAAAAATATGTCAATTGCTCTGTTAGTGTGATGATGTGGCTCAACGTGGGTCTCACAAATACAATCATATAACGACATGTGAATTAACTTTAAAAACTATTTTTATATTTAAAACTAAAAATGATATTAGTAAGAAAAAAGGCGTTGAAAGCATGATTGAAATTCTGCTGCTCCCACTTGTCGTAACCACGGCAGAGCTCAATGTCGATGATGAGGGGGTCGAAAGGGATAGGGTTGTGTCTGGTGGAGTGTAGAAGTGAATGTGGACTGGAGCTTAAGGCGACAGTAGCTAAAAAGCCTTTAATTTATTTAATTGTTAAATTTGAGGGTATTTGTGTCTATTTAAGTGAAATTTTGTATATATTTGAAAGTTTTTATAAAAAGTGACATTTTGAAAATTAAGGGTTAATATTTTCTATATTTGATAAATACTCCATGGGAATAGTGTTTTTCTCATTCGGCTTTAGTATATATAAACTAGAAAAGTGCCCGCGCGTTGCTGCGAGGGTTTGAAATCGTAATGTAGGACATGCATGAATCATTCTAATATAAATAGACACAAATTATTGATGATAGCACGTCTCACCAAATTATATTGAAATGTCAGCAGCCTTGGAATAAGATTTGATGGTGCATAGAGTGCGGATTGCAAGTTTAATTCCAATAAATATGTGTAATTATGAATCACCATTATCTAAAAACCTACAAAATCTACATCTAACCACTTGATGGCAAAAGCAATATTAGTCTACAAAATATAGAACCCAATTTAGCAAATCTTAAAAAAGTATAAACCAACAGAAATGGTTCAACATAATGTGAAAACCAAACATGAAAGTTAACCGTAGTTGTAGAATAAATATTTTAGCTTGCAGTTATATCGAATTAACTTTACATAATCAGTGTATTGATATTCAAAAGGGCTATTTAGAAGTTTGACATAACCAAAAATATAATCACAACAAAATATTGTTTTAACATAAGGAATAGAAGCAACATGTAGTCCACACATATTTTGTCTGTGCATGCAACTTGACAAAATACATGTCTTGCAAGCTATGTTATCGCCTTAACGATTGGAAAAAAAACATAAAAACATAATCTTCCAGTGCTTGCAGTGCATAAGTTTTGAAGTAAAATGCCTAAAAAATGTACATAGGTATAATCACATGCACCAAGCCATCATTAAATCTTTGAGAAATCATTTTTTAGGAAATCAACATCTCCAACACTGAAACAGAAATGAGAGGGTAAATCTCAATAACAGGTTGATGCAAAGATAGTATTTGCATAACAGTTAAAATAATGCACCATAATTATGCCTTTCTTTGAGTTTTTTGGTTTGCGACCTGCTTCTCAGTGCGCTTATAGGAACTTTGTCTAAAGGCTCTATTTTCGGAATGACTGGCTTGGAGAATTCCTTTGATATTCTTGCTAAAATTGTGGATTGTGGCTGGCTTTCCTCACATGTTTTGCTGTCAATTGATGTCCAAGTTAAAAGGTCAGAATTAAAGGTTCCAAATGTACACAGAATTCGTTCATATATTGTGAAGTTGTGTGGTATAAGGAAAAATAAACCTTTGTTTTTTTGCAGCTTTTGATTCAACAAATAATGCTCTTTTGACAGTCTTGTTTGATGCTGGTAGTTGGATTTCTTGAGCACATGGTTCTAAGGGCACAAAGGAGGCAGGAGTTGCAGCATTAACAATATGTTTCTCAACATTTGCGGCAGGTGTGCACAGTTCAACTGAGCTAGTTGTTGTGGCAGATGGTGGTTGGTCCTCAAATAATCCGCACACAACAAATTCCGTCTTGGGAAATTCCTTGTTTTGATTTCCAAATTGAAGCTGGAATTTTTTTGTGCTGCCAATAAATTTCTTAAGATTTGGCGGCAGCATAAAAGAATTATCGTACCCTTCTTTTATGACAAGGGAGTGGCAAGATACACCCAAAAGTTGTTCAGCGTGCCTTCCGATCATCATGAGGTTGAATTGATTTGTGTTGTCTTCCACAATAAAATTTATCTTAAACCTAAGTAACAGATGATGACACATTGTGTCAGATTGTTTGAAAGATAATGTTTGCTGGTAAAAGCATACACAATGTGCTGCTAAAAATATACAGAGTGTGAAGAAATGTGAACAATGTTAAAAAATTAGATGCGATTGTTACCATGGTTCAGGCAATGTTTTCAACAACTCATGTTCATAGCACTCAAAGTCTGCAGACATTTTCTTTGCAGCCTTGTGGCAAGAGGGGCACGATTTGTACCACCATCCCTTGCTTAGATCAAAACCCACAATCGTCGCTCGACACATGAATTTTGTATCCTGTTATGATATAGATGCATTACTCGCATTAAAACATTGAGTAAAAAAAGATGATGAACCCAAAAAGTAGAACACAATTGGTGACGACTTGTTTCCGCAATCAAAATGCAAGAATGGAAAACAAAAAAAACACATTTGGACCAAAACTAAATTCAAAACAGAAGAAACATTTTCTTATAAAAAATGGATCAACCACTTGAAAGACATGAACACCACTGAAACTTAAGTAGATACCAAGATATGAATTTATCATGCTTTTGTGTTCATGTAAAAGAGATAAACTAAAATGCATAAGGTTCATTAAAAGGATGGTGCAAACATAATAATGTCAGACACAATCAACAAATGACACGTTTTTTTCATATTATGTGAGTGAATCAAGCAAGAAGTGGTTGCAACACATACAATTCACAAAAGAAGAAACATTTTATTTAACAACGCAAAGATAGTGAACTAACTTTTTTCAATGTAGGATCAAGGAGAAGCAACTCTTCAATTGTCTTTAACTCAGAATCAGCAGTCACATGGGGTTTTGCATACCTTTCAACAGAGCTAGGTAGAATCTCAACGGGCAAGTTCAGGTATTGAAACCTATTTTGTACATTTTAGTGAGAAGAAGATGGTTAGTAAAATAATAAATTTGTAAAACAATAAAGAAGACTTATTGATTTACCTTTGTTTATATTCCGTGAGCTGCGGGATGTCGGGGTTAAAAAAGCACACCGTTGAGCCTGTGCTTCCTAAAACAGGTTTCCCTGTAAATACAAAGATTGCAATTAGTAAAAAAGAATTTGAAGTTGTCACATTAAACGATGGGATGGTATAACCTTGGTACTGGTTGACTTTAAGAGCAGTCAAAGCAATGAACACAGGCGGCGCCAGCGATTTGAGTGCAGCCTCCTGAAAACCTATTGCACTCTCTGCCCACAGGGTGACCATCACTTGATCTCCTCTATGATAAGAAAATGCAGTTAGTGTTTTGTACCTCATGTTTATACGGTCATTTATGTATAAATTTATAACACCAATTTAATAAAAAGATCATTGACCTTATATTTTGTATTTGTAGTTTCGTTTTTACGCAACCCTAACATTTTGCACATTCACCTTTTCAGTTGGTTGTAAGGCCATTAAACAACAAAAAACATCTATGCAAAGTATAGTCAAAAGAATAGCGATAAAGTCAATTACATTAAAACTGCTAAAAATGAATTTAAAGGTTTACTGCAAAAAAAATGTTATGGTTTACCTGTTAGCTCCACATATCTGTCAACTTTTTTGTGAAGCTGATCAAATTCAACCAGATTAAACCATTGCATTGGGATGACTTGGCCAATTCTCTCAACAGGGACTATGGTTGTCCACTTGTTCAACTCAATCATTACATTATGAGGGACAATTTTGCTCGAAGTTCTGTTTCGGATGACACGAAACTTATTTATCTCATAAGTACAACCAACATTAAGCTACTCAGAAAAGAATTGGACATCCCAGGAGTTCATAGTTGCATGGATCGCATTTCCCTTGTAGTGTAAAAAAATAAACAATATGAGTAATGCAAGCATGTTTAAGCATTTAATAAGTATTAAGTATAAAGTTTCAATTTTGTAACCTCTTTATCAACAAACACAGAGTCCAAGCTTGCAGCCTGGGGATCAGCTCCGATAGTCTTCGTGACCTAAATTCGGCGTACTCTAATTTTAAATTTCCTTGCTGGTTCATACGGCACCAAGGATCGAATCAGTTGAGGTTCCATTAACATTTAGAAAAACTACAATATCATGTTCATGGAACATAAGATAGATTAACATTTAGAAAAATAGATGGTGAGCGAGAGAGAAACTAAAATTGCCAAAAACGAACACGCAGACCTTCACACAAATGACTTAAAACATCTTTATAAACAATGTTTTTGGTGTATTCATAAGGAACATCAGCATCGTGAGCAATCACAATTTTAAGACCTCTTTTTGATATATGTCATGTCAACTCTATGCAACTGAATATATAAAATTTAAGCAGCTCCAGACAGTTTCCTAAGCATCTGCAAACCATTAACATTATTTGCCCAATTTTGTTTCCCAATTTTATCGAATGTTGCATAAATGATCACACATTTATGTAGGGAACTTGTATCTCTATTATGCAATTCATGTAGGGAACTTGTGGAGAATAATTTGGGTTGTTGTATGCAATCATCCAATTCAATGAAATTAGGAAAATCTGAGGGTTAATTAGTGCAATTCACGGTTAATCTGGGGCGTTGAGGTTAATGGTTTATTGAAAAGCAATTGGAGATTGATTTGTATGCAAGTGTGTCATGTGTGGAGAAGGACCTTCTAGCTAGACCATCACCCATCCAATTTCCCAATTTCGTCCAAAATCTGTTTTAGTCTTTAATTTGTTTGTTTTACTTTATTTTCGTCCAAAACCCAATGCCCCTTTACTTTCAAGTGTTAGATTAGTTAAAATCTGTTTTGGTTTGTGTTTTAAAGTGTCTTGAGTCAAGTTAAAACCAATTTTCGTCCAAATAACTCCCTAGAGTCAGTTTTGAGTCTATTTGGCTGTTTTGTGCTATTTTGAGTCTTTTAAGTTTGTTTGGAGTCTTGTGAGTCTTGTTAAGTGTTTTTAAGTTTATTTTTGTGTTTTTAAGTCAGTTTCAATTAGATTAGCAATCCCTCCTAATCCCCGGTCCAGAACGATCCCTACTTATACATATACTACAATTGTCAAAAGAGAGTTTAATTTGTGTGCTTAACTTTTATCACATCAATTAACCAAGCGTGATCCATAAATAGTATGGTCCCCCAATGCGGATAAACCAAGCAGGACCAGCCATGCACCATGTCTACATGGTGCAGTCTCATCATCACACCTTATACATAATTATAGGCATACATGTTATCGATTCCGCATATTAACCAGCATCTAGTCATATGGAGCACAACACAAGGAATTCCCTCAATTACTAATTTACTAAAAATCTAATAAAGTACCTAACTCATCTCTTGACTTTCATCTCCATCTCATGCTAGATAATAGTGCCAAGTTCAAATAAGTATTCAGTTGGCAATCATATCCAAATAATTATCAAACAATATTTAAATCCCATAATTGTCATAACATTCTTCATAATTATCATTCACATTATTAAAAGTTAATTAAACACACACACACACACACACACACACACACATATATATATATATATATATATATATATATATATCACAAACATCATCAATACACAAGCCAAATCATTTTTAATTAGCATAGGTCTATGGCTAAATATATAAAATTCACATTTCAATAGAAATCATATTTATAATACCAATTCATATTCACAATTGATACTAATATAAGAAATTAAGATAATAATCATATTTCATATATTCAAGTTGCTATCTAACCAATGTAGGCCCACTAGACTTCCCTTAGTCCCCCGTAGTACTAAATTTAGTAATTAGGACGTTTCGAGACATGTTGATCAAAAGTCAACTTTCGGTCAAAGGTAGGGTCCACAATTCTACACAATTCAATCCGGAAGATCCACATATTGGATTTCAGATCCGTAACTTTCCAAAGTCCACATTATGCTCAAATAACAACATACTAAAATCTCAACACGATCCGACGGTCGGATCTCCACCAATTTCAAGATTCAAGTGGCGGCGACATTTAATTTTACAAACTTAGAAATTCAATTAGGGAAGATCCGTACGTCGGATTCTCGATCCATAAGTTTCTATGATCCACAAATATTATGTTCTATCATGCATTAAGGTTTGGTGACGATCCAATGGTCGGATCGTCAAATCATATTTTTGACCTAACCGCGTATCGTAATGAAATTAGGTTCAAACAATCAAACCATATCATAAGGATATCAATTATGAAAGCAGGGCATCTAATTGAAGGATATCAATTATGAAATCAGGGCATCTAATTGAACTTAAAAGGACATCGTCGGGCCGCCGACTTGCCGAAAAATTCAACTATTTTTAAAAATTACCAAAAATTACAAAAATGAAGATCTCAAAGATTGGAGCAAACTTTATACATGTGGCAAAGTCCAATTGGCCGGGAAACACTTCAATTTCACTCAAACCAGCCGAAAACCCTTAAATTTGGGTGTTCTTGATTCGACTCCAAAGCTACTCCGACGCCTCAATCATTACTTGGGCTTTGTTCTAGGCTTCAAGAGAAGTCTAATGGTAGTGGAAATTTGATGAAATCGTTTTGGATTTGGGTGATTCAAAGACAACACCACCGCACCCTACCGTGCGGATTCACCCATTTTCAAGGTCAAAACCCTTGATTTTTTAGGTGCAAGAGGAAAAAGGAAGGTTGTGAGGAAGTTTTCAATTGAGTTTTTGGTGGAATTCACCGGAAAAGCCGAATGGGTGGCCGGAGTTCACGGGTCCGTTCGACCCGACCCCTTTTTCCCCTTTTTTTTTTCTCCTTTCCCTCATTTCCCATTCTTTCCTCCCTCTCTGATTCGCCACTTCCTCCCTCTCTCCTCTTCTGATTCGTCCCACTCTTCCCTCATTTCTCTCCCACACCTCATTTTCTTTTCTTCTTCTCTCTCCCCTCCAGCCACTCCCCGTGGCTTTCTTTTTCTTTCTTTGTTTTTTTTTTCAACAATAGTCGATCGAGGGACTTCTCATAAAAAAAATGCGTTGTACATATAAATGCGTTACAATTAATAATACGAAAATACGTACCTTTAAATAGTGAAATTCAGGGACAAAATTTCACACTAATCCTCTTACATTCCTAGCAATGAAACACTAGGGTTCAAAGCTTCAACATGAATGTTTCCAACATGAAACAAAGTCTAAGTATATGTCAACAAGACTATACAAATAAACAAACAGCTTCACAGTATATTCGTTCAATCATACATTTCAACACATTCATACATAAGCCAATTGTGCTTCGAAAGGGTTCAACATACTTTGTGTCATTCGACACTTGCTACAATGTGCCTCGACACCTTGCCTTTATTCTCACCAACCAGGTGATGAAATGTGAAGAAAGAACTTATCTTCATGCCACCAACCAGGTGATGAAATGTACAACCCGTACTCTCCTTCATGCCACCAACCAGGTGATGAAATGTATAACCTGTACTCTAATATCATTTGGCAACTTGCCATTCATGCCACCAACCAGGTGAAGAAGGAACTCATCTTCGTGCCACTAACCAAGTGATGAAATGTGATGAAAGGTGATGAAGGAACTCACATTCGTACCACCAACTAAGTGATGGAAGCAACTCATCATTCATTCCACATACCAGAAGATGAGTGGTACAACTTGTACATGTGAACTCCTAACATTCACAAATAATAAAAAACCCTTAAGCATGACAACTCAATTAGGGGAGCACTTATGCCCAACAAGAGTTATAGTCACCAACAAAGTCTTATTGCAAGCCAACAACAACTTCAGTGCATAGCATACGAAGATCAAGCTATTCAACCCTCTTGCATCTGCTTCAAACATTTTTCCTCTATAACAATGCAAACACTACAACTCGTAGAAAGCTTCACACACTCTTGATCAAGACAGTGTGAAGCAAAACCAATTTATGGTGCCAACAAGAGCTTCATCAAAGGAGTTCAACCACAATTCTCAAAAGCTTCACACACTCTTGATCAAGACAGTGTGAAACAAAACCAATTTATGGTGCCAACAAAAGCTTCATCAATGAAGGATAACTACAACTCATAGAAAGCTTCACACACTCTTGATCAAGACTGTTCGAAGCAAATTCAATTTATATGGTTCATCCAAACCTTCGACTACTACAAGGTGTGACTTGCATCACAATCTCTTGCTCAACAGCGTGGAAGCAAAATTTGTATATGTTATCCCTTCCACATTTTCAAATTTCTAGTTTTCCAAAAAAAAAAAGGGAAATTGGGAAATTCAACAAATTTCTAGTTTTCCCAAAAAAAAAATAAAAAAATTTGGGAAATTCAACA